GAGTTGAAGATGAAAAAAAAAAAAAAAAAGTTGAAGATGAAAAAAAAAATAACAGTTGATTTAAAGCAGAAAAACGAGAATCCTGTAGTTCAAGAGTAAACTGAATTGCTCTAGATTTATGAGCTTCTAATCCTACGTATATGGATGTTCAACTATCAGTAGTTGAATAACTGAAGTTACTAATCTAGAAGATAGTATGGTTTCCAACCTCCCTGAAGAAACTTGCAATAATATATACAATTAGGAAAAATATTTCTTCTTTAAAAAAAAACTATTACAGTTCAAATCAATTTGAAGTCAACATTACAGAAGGTTTAGGATTGTAAAAACAAATCTCCAATTTGTACTTTGGCTGATTTTAACACATTAAAAAAATGATAAAGGTCTTAGATTAGAGCTTCATTCTCAAAGTCTAGTTTCTAAAAAATGTCATATATGTGGTTACAGCCATGGGTTTATCCATCAATGTTTACATTTATTTAAAATGTAAAATACAGTGACATTGTTTGTTTGCTCCTGAAGAAGAAAGGTCCACCTTTCGAAAGCCCTCGGGTTATAGGGTTTTTATCATTTTATATAAAGACTTCTTGAAACTACGTGTTTTTCCGAAATCATGAAGGGTTTGCTTATTGTTAAACACAAAGCTACGTAATGGGCTATCTGTGCTGTGCCCACAACGTATATTGAAACCTGGTGTTATAAACCCATAGATTTATCACCGAACCTCTGAGGGACAAGTTAAATGGTTGGAAGAATTGGAGAAACTCGAAGGTAACGAGCATAAAAATGAATTATGTATAAAAGATTGCATGTATTCTTGTAACTTAGAGTTCTTCATTGGAATAAAACAACAACATAAGAATATGAAAACTATACAGTTATAATAACCATTAACACGGTGAAAGACTGAAAAACATGCAAACACAAAAATAACGTAACTACTGTGAAAATTAATGGACTAAACACTGAAAACTGATCATTAGAAATTTTATTACTAACATAATGTAAACTGATGTTAAAACTGTAAAGAGGTTTTTGGTTCAAAAACATGCACGGCTGAAGTTATGGAAACATAAATACAATACCTTTTTCACCTAATTTCACATCCGGCAAAGCAGCTTCCAGCTCCTTCTTAAACTTTTCTTTACCCTTTTCTATGATGTCTTTGTATTCATTCACAACTCGGGCTTCTCCCAGTGCCCTGGCCATCTTGGGTAAAATATCAATCACAAAAACACTGGACTTGGCATTGACATCATTAAAGTACTTTACAATGATAATAATATATAAAACACAATGATTCACTCAAGCAGGAAAAACCTAGTTACATTCATTGTAGTCTTTATTGTTGCATGGTATACAATATTGGAAATATGACATCATTAAAGTACTTAATAATGATAATAATATATAAAACACAATGATTCACTCAAGCAGGAAAAAACCTAGTTGTATTCATTGTAGTCTTTGTTGTTGCATGGTATACAATATTGGAAATAATTACGGAAATTGACATATATCATAAATATTGAAGTCCCAAATGAATCACTGCAATTATATGATCAATTTATCATTGGTTCAATACAATATTACAGAAAATGCACAAAAAAAGGCAATAAGTTGTATAATGCACTATAATGTTCGCTTTAAACACACGTTTTTATTGCTACTGTTTAAATTGAAAACACAATGACATTGCACTAAAACTTTTACTAGTAGTTGCAATAAATGATGCCAAGCATCACAGCAGTTAACATTATAATTTATTTACTTGATAAAAAAAAAGGGGGGGGCTTTAAAGTCTATTAAAATTGATGTAGAAAATTTACTGAAACCTGACCATATTGGCCAGTAAAATAAAAACAAATACAAGATTTGGTGTCCAGACCTAAAGACTTTAATCAAAGAGTAATAAATACCTTACCTCAGTTTCTGCATTCTGCACTTGATACAGAATCTTACTAATCGTTTCCTCGGCAGGAAGAAGTGATGGATTCTGAGATGTGGACTTGTTTGCTCGTCCTTCTGAAATCGTACTCTTTAGTTTTTCTGCAGCAGCCCTGAAAATGAGATACTCAAAAAAGTTATTTTATTATTAAGAACATTCCATGAAGAAGTAAGTAGCAAAGAGACACAGTATATCTTTTAATTTTTGGAGTGATATTCTTCTACTTGTTACTAAACAGCTGGACACATGAAGAAGCCAAGAATTTCAAAGAAGTTTGTACCGTGTCATCATTGATCAAGTAATTATGAAAGAAACTACATTTGTCCGTAGGTCTGTATGAGTTCAGAACCCCCATGAATCAGTAAATATATTTCATGTTATTCTACTACCTTTGTTGTCTGGTATTTGGTAAACATGATAAACATGGTGACAAGATGCTTAAGATGTAAAGTGGTAGACTTAGAGATGTGACCTAACAAATAAAACTAATTAACTAACAATCCATTTTAGGAGGTTTGGACATTCTG